CAGAGCAGCTCCATAAACCCACTACCCTGTTTCCTCGCTCTGCTTTGCAGGATCCATCTAAGGAAGTTGCACTGGAAAACAGACCTTGAACAATAAATGAATGTATGAATGCATGTATGCATGTCAGCATGAACAGTTTGAAATGCCTCATTCTGCTTCTATGCTCCAAGGGGTTCATTCTGTCTTGTAGTGTGTGTGAAATTCTTGTTCTTTGATTTGTAAAGTCAAGACTCAAGGCTACTACTACTTTGAAGAAACAAACATGCTATTAGGCTTTTGGATTATCTCTAGAATCCCTTCCCCTGACTTTTGCTTTAGGGAAGTAGCTCTCTGAATCTTGGCGGTCTGTATCGTGAGGATTTGGAGGTTAGCTACAAATTTGGCCAGTGTGTAAATCTACCCTTGGCTTTGTGTAGTTCTGCAAGATGCCTTGGTTTTCCAAATGTCTCTCTAAGGGAGAGAACATGTCGCTCCACATTACTAGGATACAAACAAGATCTACATGGCGGCCGCAGACTCCCAGAATTTCAGAGGCTGAGACAGGAGGATGACCTCAAGTTCAAGGCCTGCTTGGGGTTCACAGTGAGATCCAGGATAGGCAGGTGAAACCCTGTCTCAAAAATAAAACAAACAAATGACTAAAACAAGCCACCCAAATATCTATTTAGTGGAATTAGCAGTGACAGGGTCTAGCTCCTTCATCATGAAAATTATATGAAAAGCCTAAGAAAACATAGTAAAAGGAGCAGGGACTTGGGGGGGGGGCACGTCTGGATTTCAGATCTACTTCACTTCCGCAGACCTCAGTGCTCATCCAGAAAATAGGGTCATTAATTCCTACTTAACAGACCTCTGTGTGAATTAATGCAAATAGGTCAACAGTAAGCAGAAAACTCCACAGGGTCTGCTACAAAGAACAGAGAAGGAACTCCCAACTTCACTCTCCTCTTGAAGTCTCTCCTTTCTTCCTACAGGTCCCTGCCCCACCCCCAGCCTTGCCTTCCCTTGCAGGTTCTTTCTTGGGTTCTGACTCCCTCCCCCCACAGAGTCAATGCAGGCTGACTGAAGGCTGTGTACGCAGGATGAGCACCGCAGCTCGCTCAGTCCTCTCCCTCTGAAGCACACTGCCTCAGGCTCAGCCCCAAGGGGGCTGTTCTCAACAGGTTCTTTCTAAGAGAAAAACAGAAACTGCCAAACGGTAAGTAATTGACCCTTTAGGAGGATGCTAAAGAGCTGCCTAGACAAGAGACAACGACCGGATACAAACCCAAGAAAGGAAAAGGGAAAAAAGATGAAAGCAAAAGTCATTTTAAAAAAGCAGAAGTAAATAAAAGTACACACAAACACCAGACACATTAAAACACATACACACGACACACACACACACACACATACACACACACACACACACCAAACACACCCCATACACATATACCATGCACACAAATACGCACACCCATAAACTCCATATTTATTAGCTAGAAGATAGACAGAATTTAAATTCTGGTTTTCTTTCCCCAGCATGTCCTGATGCCCTCTCCTTTTTAGATATGTGTGGCTGTTTTGCCTGCATTTATGTCTGCACTGTGAACACAGCTGGTGCCTGTGGAGGCCAGAAGAAGGCATAGGATCCTCCGGAACTGAATTTACAGGGGGCCCTGAGCGACCGCATGGGTATTAGGTCTTTGAACCTGGGTCCTGTGGAAAAGTAGGCAGTGCTCTTAACCACTGACCTGTTTCTCCAGCCTGCTTTGACTGTTTAATGAAAGAAAACAATGCCTTTACCTGTGGTGGGCAGAAAACAAATGTATGATGTGCCAGCATATCTGGCTTGGCCCACACCCGCAGGCATTCTGCTTTACCTGCCTGTGATGTAGGCCATCCATGGCGACCTCCTGTTCGTCAACACCAAAGTCCCAGAAGCAGCAAGAAAGGACAGTTGCTCCCACCGACCACAGGCAAGCACTCACAGGCAAGCACTCACAGGCACTTCCGCAGACATTTTAACGTCTGAGCCGCAAGAGCACAGTCCTGGGAGGCTGAATCTCAGAGACTGAATCTCAGTGAGTTCCCTGAGTCCTCACCACTGCTCGGAACCCACATCTGACTCCTCCCAACAGCTTGGACCTGGAATGTCCCAGGTGGACCGTGCTGAAAGTGTGCTCCCTGGCTTGTGAGGCTATTGAAGAAAAAGTGGTGTGACCTTTAGGAGAAAGTTGGGGTACTAAGGGGGGATGCTGTGATTCCACTTTCTCCTCTGCTGCCTTACTCGCTTCCTGACCCCTGACTCGTGCAGCATCCTCTGCTGTGTGCTCCTAAGACAGACTGCCTCGACATAAGCTCCACAGCACAGAGCCAACCAGCCATGGACTGAAACCTCTAAAACTCCAAGTTTTTAAAAATATAGTCATAGGCACTTTGTTACAGCAATGAAAAATTAACACTGATACATCTTTTCCTGTCATATTACAAAGGTAAAAGACCTCAGTAAATGATAAAGATATTGAAAAACAACTTTTTAATTTGAAGCATTGCTTATTGCAATTATGAAGTTCAGGAATCTGAAGAATGCCAAGTGCTTGGAAGGTGTAAAAGTAAAATGGGAATTGTGAAAGGTGAGTTTCTGAAAGTTCCTGGAGGAAACTGAGGCGGTAGAATGCCACAGCGGGGAGAGACTGCGGCTCAGCAGAAGAGCACCTGGCCAGTGTGGAGGCAGCCCTGGCTTCACTTCCCAACACTGAAGACTAAAGTAGACAGACAACGAAAGAATGAAGAGGCTTTCCTCTGTCTGAGCAAGAACTCGGTGGTGTGAAGTAAAGGGCTGAAGATAAAAGCCTGCAGTGCAGGACTCCGGAGGACTCAGGCCTCCTACGGGCTGGTGACAGGGAAGAGCCACAGAGGGAGTGCTGGGGAAAGGAAGGGCAGGCACAGCAGACAGCAGCACCCAGCTCCAGCCTGGCCCAGAGCTGCAAGCCACAGCCTTCAAGGTAAGGGGGTGGGGCTGGAGAGATGGCTCAAGGTAAGGGCATTTAGTTCCTCCTGCCTGTGTCAGGGAGCTGATTTCAGCTCCATGGGGTCAGAGGCCCTCTTCTAGCCTCCTGCGCGCGCGCGCGCGCACACACACACACACACACACACACACACACACACACACACACACAAAAGAAATCTTTACCAAGAAAGAAAAGAAAAAAATGCTGCTTCATGCATTTATTCAAGCTCTATGCCAGATAAGCTCTGGCACAACCTCTACCTGGCACAACCCTCATGCCCACCTCATCACTGTTCCTTTACATCTCTTGCCCCCAATTAGCCTCCTTGTCAGAGAAACAAGAACCCAGCTCCTCAACAGACCCAGTCCCCCAACTACATGCCAAACACCCAACACTTAATTTTGTCCTGTCTCATGGTCATGCGTTGTGCGTGTGTATGGTGTATTTTGTGTGTGGGATACGTGGAGTTCATGTGTGGTAACTGTTCGGTATATGTGTGGTGTGTGTGGTGTGTTCAAGGTGTTTATAATATGTTTGCTGGGGGGAGGGAGGGCTTGTTTACATAGCCCAAGTTGGCCTTGAACTCTGCAATCTTCGTCTGCCAATGATGGGATTACAGGTATGTAACACACCTGGCTCATTTGCATGTTTGTAAAGACTATTCAGCTTCGAGTTTAAATTTTTTATATATATTTATTTGTGTGTGTGTGAGAGAGATTGCGTGTGCAGACGCCTGCCACAGTGCACATGTAAGCAGAAGACAGCTTTTTCAGGAGCTGATTCTCTCCTTCTGCTGTGGGTGAGTTCTTGGGAAGAAACTCGGGTTATCAGACCTGGCAATAGGTGCCTTCTACCTACTGAGTCCCCTCCTTCATAATTCACTGGCTATCCTCAAAGGACAAGGACACCGTATCTTCCTCAGGAGTGAGCAGTATGGTAAGTTCACAGAGATGGCAGGAGTCAGCCACCACTCAGACTCCATGTTCAGGCCCCTCCCTGCCTCACACCTGCAAGATATGCAGGTTGAGAAGCCTGATGGCTCCAGAGGACTCAACTGCTCGTCCACAAGGAAGGTGACAGTAGCCTGCGGCTGAGTTTGGTGTCTTCCAATCGACATATAGACCCCGTGCCCTGTAAGGTACCCAGGAGTACCACTGGCAAACCCAGACCAACTCCAGTTATGAAAATGGAATCCTAACTCTCAAAACCTCAAGGACATTTGTGTGTATGTACGCATGTGCTGGAAGGGAGGAAAGAATAAAGGGAAGGGAGCAAGGGCAAAGGAAGTGGAAGACAGAGGTATCTGCCTGAGAAAAGCAGCCAGAAACAAAGGGAAGCTTGGCCCTTCTCCTGGGAAGACATCCGGCCGCCTGTTCCTCATTACTTGCCTCCAATTCCCTCCTCATTCAGGGGCCTGAAGCACAGAGCTGGATTGCTGATTGATTTAAGCTTAATTCATTTGTGTAATATCCCTGTTCAGAGCAATGTCTAATTAACACTTTTGTTGGGGGGAATAAAACCTCCCATATTCATTAACGGTGGGGGAAGGGAGGACATCGACCTGCAGTCTACGGGGCCGTTGGCTGGTTCCATCTCAGAGATGTCTTAATGAGACGCATCTTCATAATGGGATTTTTGCTCCCTTTGGACTGGAAGGAGCAAATGGGGTGCGATTGGCTAGGGGACCGGGTAGTCAATAGTGCAGGCCCCCACAGCACTCTCACCCACAGCTGGGCACCTGGACTCTGGAAGCCTAATCCAGGGAGCGGATACACAACTAGTAAGGCTCTCTCGAAGCTGCGGAAGAAAATTCCAAGTGTGACTTCACTTCTTTCTGGATTCCTCAGCCTCCCCAGGCCTTGCAGAGAGAAATAATATCAGATTTGTTTAATGACTTCATAATGTGCGACATGAAGCTTTATAAATATAAGTTTTCAGGTTTCTGGAAACAACCAACACCAACACTGTTTAACAGGCAAAGACTTGCAGAGAAATCGAGCAACTCACCCAAAGTCACAAAGATAAGATAAGCAAGGACTAAGTGTGGAGCCCACATCTTCTGGCTCAGAAACCAGGGCTTGTCCGGGAGCAGGCTTGATTGGCAGGTCACTGGGTGCGTGCTATTGCTCTCCAGAGGCATTCCTAAAGCCCTGCTGGGGATGAACGCAAAGAAGACATTAAGGCGGGGACTGCAGCTTCTAGTGCTAATGGATTCTCTAAAATTCTACGTAAGAGTCTAGGGCTGGAGGGATGGCTAAATGCTCGTAAGGACCTGAGTTCAGTTCCCAGCACCCATGTCACCTGCCTGTGACTCAGCTGCCTTCTTTTGGCCTTCACAGGCACCTGTATTCACACACATGTATCTACACACAGATACGAGTACACATAAAAACACATCTTAAAATATTATAAAATTATAATTACAAATTATATTAATTATAAAATAATAGTAAGAGTTTGACGTGAGGGCGGGGAGTGGTACACAGCACTCAAAGGACCGCCCAAGGACATAAGATTCAGCAATGTGGGGTCCATATTTGACTGCTTTCTAGTGTGAAAGGTGGGAACAGTAAGGGGGAACTGCTGGAGGATCTGGGTTCTAATCTTAGTGCTTATATGAATGACCTTAGGGGACCTATTTATCTTCTCAGATTTCTATTTCTTTATGCCTGCAGAAGAAACATCATCAGCCATGCGTTGCCCAACACACAAGGATCTGTTGAGGCCTAATCTGCATAAAGGATAAGGAACAGCAGCCAAAAGATGACAATGAAAAGAAACTATTTTCACAGCACATCACTGTATGTTTTAAAATGTTTCTACCACATGCATTCACGCCTAAAAATATAAATTAAATTTCACAAGACTGCTTTAAGCCCTGAGGCTATACATTTTACACATACAATCTCACTGAGTTCTCTGGGCAGTCCTGTGTGGTAGAGATAATTTTCTCAGTTGCATATGAGGCAGCCGAGGCTCAGCAAACGCAGATAAGTCAGCTCGTGTCAGATATGTGACTAAGTATTCTGTGGTCTTGGATTAAAATTCTTATCTTTCTGATTTCAGAGCTGCAATCTCATACTTCCTCTCTTCCCTACATTAATTATAGATGCTTATTCTATATTAAAAGCTCAGTGTTGAGAGATGAAATTGGTATATATTTAAAAATAAATTTCACTATATTGTGAGGGGCTGAAAGTTTCCCATCATATGTACACATAGGAGTCACGTAACCATTTGCCTTACGGCCAGTTCAACTGTCCACTGGCTGCCCGAGGAAAAACTGTTTAAAAATAATATATACACACTCTTAAATATGCATTTTTGTATGCACGCCCATGGGGTGGATGGTGGCAGCTTTATAGAGAGAGAGGTCGGGGGAGAGAATTAGAATGGCTACTGAAAACACTGTCCTGTGGTCTGGCCGCACGGAGACCCACCCAGGCAGCTTGCCTCACAGTCTTGAAAATATCGCCAAGCCTTCCTTCACTCTGTTGCCTGCCGCCCCATGCAGTCAACCCACATCAATGCCTCTGGCCCGGACTACAGTCCAAGGCAGGCAAGGGTGGGCCATATATCTCCTCACATGTCCACACTGAGCCAGACAGAGTTATGTGCTTAATAAAGCAAAGGTTTGTCAGATAGCCACGAACACTAAGATCATTTTAACTTAAGGAGAGCAAAACCTAAAGTTCAAGCAGACAGTGTCACATGGTCAAGCACACAGATGCTTGAAGGTCAGGTCTGCAGCCTGGCCTCTGTGGCGTGAGTTCACTGGCTGCAGGCGGGATAATATCTACTCATAGAACGGTAGTGAGAAGCCACACAGAGCTGTGAACTCCCCAGTAAATGGAAGCATTACATAGCAATAAAAAGAGAACAGACACTAAGGACACATGCTACTGTGAGAGCTTGCCTAGCATGCGCAAGCCCTTGGATCCGACATCCAGACAAAAGTTAAAAAGGAGAAAAGTAAATTCATAAAACCCTAAGTGGGAAAACCCCTCAAAGGCTGTAATCTCAAACCTTCCAACAAAAACATGCTTCCTGGGCTCTGCACCCCCAGTGTCAGAGACAACTCTGCTCAGTGTGGTCTCCATGCCCTGCATAAAGCCTGGCACATCAGTAAATGAGAGAAACACAGTCCCGAAGCTTGCTGCATCCAGCTTCGGGAGCAGCTCAAAAAGAAAGAAACGGCCCAAGTTCTCCCGAATTCCATCGAATTTGCATCAGCTCATTTCTAGCGGTTCTGAAAGGGACACCTCACACAGCTCCCGAGTCACCACCAGCCCAGCACTGGCAGGCTTAAGTAACAGGCGAGTTAGAGCACACTCCCATGAGGCTCACCTGAGGATCCAGGCAACCATGAGACCTCGAGCATGCAAACAAGGTGAACCAAGTCACAGCTTGGCTAGGGTACTAAGCCTGTTTTATAGAAGGTCAAGGGTCAGTGGTGGAGAAGGACGGAGCAGACAAACACTTTACCTGGTATGTTACAAGCCTGGTGGCAGAATTGGGCAGGCCCCATCTTGGGGCTGAGGGAGTACACAGGTGGATGGAAGGAAGAGAAACAGCACTAGGCCTCCTGAGAACCTGCGTGGCAGCGAGGAGTGCTGGTCTTTTTCTCAAGTTCCTAGATATCTCCCTGGGGTTTCCCCACTGTGTCCCAAAGACTGAGGTCCTACTTATTGACCTACCACAAAGGTAGAGCATCTCACAGACATTCTAGTAAGGCCTGGTTTCTGCTGCTCAGAGCTTCTGGCTCACTCTGCCCACATGGCAGTTGAGAATGTCCTGCCTTGCTCGGAGATCTGCCCATGCGCCAAGCGTCCAGCCTTGCTCACCACAGCCGTGGACTTTTTGAAAAGCAAACGAAGGAACAAACAACCAGCACAGGCTCTAGGGCCACCTCTCTATTCTAAACTCACTGTACTGTCACAGCCTATCTGTGACATTGGGTAGTGGCTTTTTAACATCTCGTGTGAATAATGGGCTAACTAAAAACAAAAAACAAAACCTCCTCAGATCACTTGATATCACTTCAGAAGGTACCAAGACACAGTTAGCACATGAGAAAATTTACTCAAGACCTAGCAAATGATTATAACCAACTTTCTCTGACTTGAAAGTCCATGTTCTGCCCAACTTTGGTCTCACCTCTTCACATTTCTCAAAGCACATTGCCCTTTGCCTCTCACAAACTTGCATTGAGCTGTAAACTCCTCATGAAACAGTGGCTCCAAACCACCTTTCTGTACTCCTTGAGAACTGGAGCATCGGCCAGAGACCCGAAACAGGAAGAGTACTTCAGCTCCAGGATCTCAGCATCTGCCCTGTCCATTGGCTGTGTGAGAAGCATGAGTGTGGACATAGCGAAGAGGAGCATCACGGATGTGCTGCAGAAGAAGGCTTCCCCAGGGCAAACCCGAGAGATTAGGGGCCCAGGCTGCAAGCAAGTTAACGCACCATTCTGTCACAGCAGCCAGGTGAAGGGCAAGTCTGCTTCCGGAGAATCCTGGGAGTCATGAGGATACTGCAGTCCGCCACACAGCTAACTACAGAGCCTGGCCTGCCACGCCCCAGCCTAGTGCCAAGCCACTTCCTGCTGCCCTTCTGCTGGCTTTCCTGGGCCTCACGGCCTCCTCCTGCTCAGGAGAGTGGGGTCCGGCTGGGGAGTACAGCAGGTCTGCATACTTCCCTTACTCGCTTTCCCTCTGTCCCATTCATCTCTTGCTCTAACCATTTCCGCTTCTTTTCTCCACAGCTTCCTTTTTCAGAGCCCATCTCCACCTCCTCCTTTGTTTCCCTTCTTCAGGCCTCAGCCTCAGCCCTTGCTAGCTCTGCTGCCAGCTTCATTTCCTGGATTCTGCGGTCTTGTTTGGCCCTCTTTTCAGCTCCACCCAACTCTCTCTCACTGCTTCTCTTTTCCTCTTTCCCTGTTTCTTCCCTTCCTGCTCTTATCTGCCTTCATTCTCTCTCGTTCTCATCCATCCTCCTGCCCATCTCATTCTCTCACCTAACTACAGAGAGGCATTTATGCAGTTGTTTTGGTGAGAGAGCTTGGGGAACCTCCAAGGGGACATGGTCAGCGTTAACGCCACTTGCCAGCACTGAACAGGAAGCCCGGTGACAGTTTAAAGTTTGTGGAGCCAGAGCTAAGGAGCCCCTCAAGAGTGCTGTCTCCACACAAAGGCAGTACCCCAGGCTTTGTGTAGTCAGTGGAGGTCAGAGTGGTGACAGGTGTGGCTGCCACACTGCTGCTAAAAAGTCTGAAGGGAGGGCCTCATGGGGATGGCTTCTTCATTTTAGGGCAAGAAATTCCAACTTCTGAGTCTGTTAGCCTCATTTTGCTACACCACTTCTGGTTTCAATCCTGAGGCCAGTGGAGTTGAAGGGAGGGAGCTTGCCAGAGGGAGGACATCCAACCTCGTTCTCTTTTTCAGTTCTCCTCCAGGAGCTTCCACTCGCCTGTGTGGTTTCTATAGCTGGGGCTGTAGACCTCGCCACAGGCACCCTCAGGGGCTTACTCACTTACTCACCACGTGTGCTCAGGGCCCCTGTTTCTATTCTCCCCTCCTTTTACTGCCACGCTGCAGTTTTCTGAGGTGGTACTGAAGGAAGGGGAATCTTTCCGAGCAGTATAACCTGAGCACCTCCTTTCTGCTTTCTAAAATTGTACTCCTTTCAAGAAACCCTTCAATTGACCTGGCTGTAAATCTGGAAGAGATCTAAGAAATGAATTAATTTCATCTTGGGGGCTGGAGAGATGGCTCAGAGGTTAAGAGCACTGGCTGCTCTTCCAAAGGTCCTGAGTTTAATTCCCAGCAACCACATGATGGCTCACAACCATCTATAATGAGATCTGGTGCCCTATTCTGTCGTGCAGGTGCACATGCAGGAAGAACTCTGTACACATAATAAATAAATAAACAAACAAACAAATAAATAATAAATCATAAAAATTTCATCTTTATTTGTATGTAAGGACCTGAATGCCAGTTATACACTTTGCTCAGTCCTGGAGGTGATTTGAAAGGGAATGGCCCCATATGCTTACATGTCTCAGTAACTGGTCGCTAATTGGTGGAACCATTTGGGAAGGACTGGGAGGTGTGGCCTTGTTGAAGGAGGTGTGTTGTTGGGGGGGGGCTTT